CAGCGCGGATAGAGATGGCGGCGGCTGGATCTGGCTAAGTGGCCAGTGAGGATGACGACTTCACCCCCGCCCCCAGTCAAAGTCAACCGGCCACTTCCATCGGGCGTCGCCATGTTCTTCCTCACGCGTCGCCGACCGGCGGCGAGAAAGAGGACATCGTGAGGCTCGAGGAGGTTGCCATCACCACCGGCGAAGAGGACGAGGACCTCCTACTTGATATGTAAGCCGTCGTTACTTCTGTTGACCTGACCCGATCGGATCCTGCTCGTCAGTATCCGTATGTTTTCATGCATGGATTTCACTTTAGTTCATAAAAAAGTGATGTAGTACTAAATTTTAATTTCAACATATATCAGGACAACTCAGCCGTGAACTTTAAAAGAGCAAACAAGGTTCTGGTATTGGAGTCTGAGCTAGTAATTTCTGATTATCTTCACTTGAATGTGTAAAGTTTTGTTTAATCCATTTTCCTTTTGTTACTTGTGTTTGCACGTCTCTCAACCTGACAAACATTTGACACCTGAAGCCTTTCTATGTAGGTGGGAAAGTGATTCAAGAAATTTATATAGCGTTACCTGAATGCACAAGAGTTGCTGCTGGAACTCCATTAGTACAGTTACAGGACTTCTTAATATGCCATGCTAATTCAATTTAACACATGACACATTGACCAGCCATAATATTTAATTAGATAATGTGTTGTGCAATGTTTGGCATTCTTGTCTGCAGTTCATGGCAATAATTTCAGTACTTGAGATTCCATAATCCATAGTAGTCTTTTGGTCTGCTTAGTTGTCAATTATACAATTGGAAAAAACAATTGCATATTTATTACTCTTCCCAGGTGTGTCCAGAGATCTAATGCTTCGACACTACAGATGTCTCTGCTAAATGGTTTGTTCGATCGCATGGGATGTGCTAATGGAGATGGCGAGGAAGACAAGTAGAGATGTGTGATGGTAAGGGGTTAAATAAATTAATCATGCAACATTTGTTTGCTATGTGATCTGGGAATTATATCTTACAGATTGCCTTTCGTCTCCCTTTTGATTAGTACTCTTGTCATCTACATGGATAGATTCTTCTGTCCTAAATCACGTGGAAGGTTGCGATCACTGTATGGGCACCTACATTACTCCTTCTCCTTGACTATATGAGATTTATACCCGTTGCTCAAGTATGTCATGAGGTGATTTACTATCTTCAATGGTTCCCAATTACTATGAATGGTAATTTTTTGAATGTATGTTGTTGTGCTCTCATAACTGGGATCATCCATATGATGCTCATGTTGATCTCGTAGTGTAGTCTAGGTTTATGTATTTGGTAAATATTATTTTCCCATGAATTTTCTGTACTACATAAGAAAGGTTAGTTTGCAATACGAGGCCATTTGCTATTTTAAGGGGATCTCTGTACTGGATAAGAAAATTATGTAGGTACCATTTTTGTATAGCCATTTCTTCCTTTTGACTATTTTGTTTAGACTTTGGACTTCCAAATCAGATCTATGGTCTACAACGTTAAGTTCAGAAGCAAGTTCTGTACTGTCATTTTTTCTGTAGATCTCTCTTGTCTCGTATATTGGAGTGGGGAAACTTTGCAATCACTCATGGATAGATGAAGCTGTCAAGCACTTGTGCTTTTGCTTTTGTGATTCCATTTACTTCTTCTTAACAACACACTTCTACAGTGTTTTGTGATATAAACATTTAGAAAACTAGGCGTGATGTGTTGTGAACTCATGACTGCTAGCCTTTTTTTTGTTTTTTTTTGTTTTCCATTTTGGGTACATAAAAAGTCAATAGTTTTTAGCACAAGGTTTATTTTATTTTATTTTATTTACCAGGTTAACAAAGGACTTGAGTATACATTAAAGTATAAGCACCATGATTTATTCAGATGTTTGACACTTGACAGTATCCGAGATGCCGCAACAAGGTCTGGTGTAGTGTTTTACAATGTTGTCATTTCTTCACTTTGCAAAAAATGGGAAACCGATCGTGCCATTGATTTATTTCGCCCACATGGTGTTGATTATTTCATAATTCATCATTTTTATTAACTTATTCATGTGAAGTGTAATCTTGAAAGTTGCATTTGCAGACTATACCATCTGAAATGTCGTTTATTAATAACTGCTGGAGTGTATATCCTTCGTTAGAGTGAGTACGAAAAACTGAACCAAAAAGGGAATGTAATGTTGTCAGCGAGGATGGGATTCTTATGCCTCAGGTTTCCCTTTGTATCACTGAGACTTGAGAGTATATTGTAGGGTAATGCATTCTACATGCATGTGTGTTGTAGTTGTAGCAAGTTAGACAAGGTACCCCCCTAATGCCGAGAGTATGGAGCTGACGAAGGCTATCAACAACAAGCTTCAGGGTGCGTGCACGCAGATGAATTTCTCGTTTTTGGAATAGCCATATTGAATAAGTAGTCTAACTGACTTCCTTGTTGTTTGTTTATCAATATGCAGAGGAGAATGGTCTAACCTATAGCCCAGATCAGGTGCTAGCGTCCAATGGAGCTAAGCAGTGCATTGCACAAGCTATGCTTGCTCTTTTCTCACGTGCTGATGTGGTAAAGTTATCATCCTTGTGCATTGATTTTTTTGAACAAATACTTTTCATACTAGCTTAGACAATACGATGAAAATAGCAGCACCAAGTGGTTATCATGTACTCCTTTTGTTGTCCCCAGTTCTTAAAAGTTAGCAGATTGCTTCTAAATGTATTGTAGCACATTTGATTAACTTCTTGAGTATCATAAACAAATGTGATGATGCAGGTCTACAAACAGTTCTGAACATAAGCACTAGAAAATATTTTTGCTGCGATGACCATATAAGCAAATAATGTGTATCTCCATTGCTCATGTTTGATATTCATTCCTAATAGTATGCTTGTGTTATTGCTTGGTACATATTGTAGTTTTAGTTATTTGTTTAATATTTTTGAATCATTGACCCGCCTTTCTCATCTTTCTACCTAGAGTATGGTGATGTACAAAGCTCTTGATATATGTAGTGTGGTTGATTACGAAATGTACCAAAAAGTGAGTGCAACTTATATTAAGTTATACTCACGACTCTTGATGTTGATTGAATTGAAACTTTGAAATGATTATAATTGAGATTTGAAAATGTTACCCAAACCTCTAAGG